AACAAATGATATAATCAAGGTCCATATATCTCGAATGTTTAGCAGAATATATAAACATTTATCTGTTCATGTATAAAGGTGTTCTATATACGTACACACACACACACACAACACACAACACACAACACACAATATCTATTAATGTGTATATGTACACATGCCTATATCGTTGTAAAAAGCAAAAATTATTTTTATAACAATCGAAAGTTTTGCCTCAAAAACTCTAAATGAAGGAACAAAAGAAAAACAACAAGTGTGAAATATAGGTGAATAAAGAAAAGACGAAGACGAGAAAAAAGACCAAACATTAATAAAGAATACGAAAATTTAATGATAAACTCTATTACACATACATACATACACAAAGAGAGCAAATATACTCTATTATTCTGGTTACTTCTAATACTAACAGAGAAAAAGAGAAGTCAGCGACTATAATAGAATCAATACATATATGTACATAGATGTATTTAGAGTGTTATATATAATGCTATTCAAGGTGATAGGAAAATTGATGATATATGATTATGCAAACAAAACAAAACATTGATGTAAAATAAAGAAAACTTTTAAAATTTAATTGAATATAAAAACTATTGTGTTATACAAGAATTTAGTTTTTCACCCGATAATCTTTTTTTTTATAAAATTGCTACTAGATGAAGAGATTGAATAATAAATCATATTAGAGTAAAAACTGGTAATAAATTCTAAACAATATGTTAACTAAATGAGTCATCATTATTCTCTCAAGTTAACAATAATTTCTAGAATAAAAGATTAATATTTCATCTCTATTTTCAACAGCAACATTATCATCGATTGAACGGACAAAAACAAACATAATGAAATTCATCCGATAACATCTTTTCATCATACAAAGTGTCTGCTATTGCATGAACTGTTATACTATCAATCGCATTCTTAAAGTTCAAATGTGTTTGACGTTTAACTCTAATCAGCTTTGTCAGTAAAAATCAAAATTTTTCAACAAGGAATTGAAGATGCTACTATCAGCTGTTGTAATAAGTATCTAGCAGAATTGAAGAAGCTCTTCAACTTTTAATACATAAAATACAAAAAAGACATCTCATTTTCTTCCGATACAAGATGAGTTTATTTGTCAATATTATAGTCTAGAGACAAATGTATTCAATATCATGCTGTGATTAGAAATTTTTTCTCTTCATGTTCTACATTCATTAAATTAATCTATAGCTCTACTCTACGTGGATACATTTTCATTATGAATCTAAACGTACTTAACGATTAAAATTTTATTAAAATGTATACTTTGTTCAATAGCTGTCAATTGAAAGCAAAAATGCTTTTATATACGAAAGAAATGAAAAGAAAAACAATCGCTGATTATTACATAAAGTCTGTAGATGAATGATACCAGAAGAAAAAATATAGCACAATTGTCACAACATATACATACAAACAGAGATCAGAGTCTATAGTACATGTTTTGCTGCCGAAGGTATTGGAGAAAATTGATCTAATAGTCATCAAATTGAAACAAAATGTAATTTTTTATCATTAATTCTAATAAACGTCTAGTCTCAGAATCACTCTGTCATCAATAGCATTTTCCATTCTAATTTTTTGCTTATTCAACAAAAAAATACAAGTCGCCAAGTTTCATCTGGGTACAAAAGCGTATAATTAACAGGAGTCAGACACTTTAACTATGCTATTTCTCTAGCTAATAAAACATTGAACATTTCTTTTTAACAATAGAAATTTCATATTTTATTCTACAATATCTGAGTACAAAATTATAAAACAAATAAACACTTACCACACGTTCAGTCTTTTTCTATGTGTTCTGTGAAATAATGTTGTTAGATAACGAAATTTAATAAGAAACATAATTTAAAATATGTTGATCAAAATAAAAGTAAATTAATTCGTAACAATGATGATAGTAATAGAATATTTGTACATATGCTTGATACTGAACGTTTTTTTTTTTCAAAAAAATTAAATTAGAGCGTATCTAACGCACAAACGTTCAAACTAGTTTTTCCCTCTATATTAAGTGAATGTCCTTCTTTTTTCTTTCTTTTTTTGTAGATTCTGCTGGAACGAACAAACAGTATAACTGTCACTGTTTTTTTTCTCTCCTTCGCACGATTTGTTTATTGTTTGTTTTTATATTTCTTTTTGTCAGCGAATGTCCTTAACTTTTCTATATTTCTCATGTTCGACCATAGTACACACAATATAGAAATATTATTATCTATCTATTTATATAATTAATTTCTCTCGAACACCAAAGAAGTTATGAATTCATATACATACTGTATAACAGAGAAATTTCTAATAATAATAAATTATTATTATTACTAATCTGTTATGAAGAACGAAAGAAGAGAAAAATCTAGAGAAAATCTAATGAGTTTCTTAGGCGGAGAGATAATTAATATAGATGAGTTATCAGTATGATAACTCGAGGTTTTTTTTTCATTGATGAAGATGATGACGACGAAACATGAGATATATATATAAATATCAAGAATAAAAGAACACAAACAAAAAAAAAAACAATAACGAACATGTCCCCGTTTCTGATAGCTGCAAATGGGAAAAAAAACCAGTGGGAGGAGCAATTTGCGGCTTTGCATTAATGATATTACTTCTTTTTTTTTTCTTTTGGTGTTTGTTGTATTAAAAAAAAAATAAAGAAGAGAAAAGATGTAATAGTCTGTGTGATATATATTCTGTATTTTCGTACAATCTTTTAGGATGTGTAAAAATGTACTCAAGTTATATACACAAATGTGTATGAATAAACGAGTTCTTTGTCGCAAACGCACGAGCTTAATATCAAACATCACAGAACGAAAGATACATTTCCACAAAAAAATGTTCATATAGATCTATAGTAAAATATTTATGTAATGATACGACGAGAAGAGAAGCGAAAACTCTTGTAAATGATCTCAAAGGGAAAAAATTGTTCTTTTTTTTAAAAACACCTATGTATGGATAGATATACAAAAGTGTAAAATATATTGAAATATAAAAAAAGTAACTATATGTATATGTATACAAACAGTATTTTGGCTGGTGGATATCTGAATCATTTTTTTCCCTCTCTCTCTCTCTCTCTCTTTTTTAAAACTCTCTTTCTTCTCATCCATCCTTACTCACTCCTCATTTCAACTTCATCACTCACAAACAAAAATCATTACGCATTACGATACAGGGAAATATTATCCAAGTTGAACATACACATCTACACTGGTACATAATATCTTTCTCTCTTTCTCTATATTATATATGTATGTGGAATATACCATACAAAGAACGAAAAAACAAAATTGAAAATTGAGTGATTATCATTATTAATAAGTATAACGAGGCTTAACTTTGTTTTTAATGAATAAAAAAGAGAGTCAAAATAAATAACTAAATTTTTTTTTTGAAAACTTACCTATACACATAGTTTGTTGGATGAATTTTTTTGTCTGTCATGACGCTATACGTAGTGTCATGCACTATTCGTCTAATGGTTGTACAATAAACGGTTTGTATTCATAACATGTACACCCAAACAGACACACACTCTCTGCAGTAATGATAATAACAAAGATGAGAAAAAAATCCACAAATATATTCAGAGATTACTCTTTTTCTTAGTAGTTTCTATAAAAGAAAAAAAAAAAGATGACACTAAAAAATCCACCAACCAACAGATTTTTTGCTTGATCCATTTATATATATGGTATTCTTTGATAGATATTCTGATAACAACAGAAAAATTACTGTTGGTGATATCATCATTGAGAAATAAAAAGAGGAATAAGGATAAAAGAAGATTCTGTTATTGCTGGGTTTTTTTTTTGGTTAATGATAATAAAATAAAGAATATAGGCGGTTCGTATAAGAGAAAAAATAGCAGTGATGTTGGACAAATTTAGCAATTTTGATAACAATGTGTTTGTTCTGTTCTTCTGTTTATAACATGAACAAGTAGATTTCAAACTAACTATTTTTGCCTTCGATCCATATTCGAATTGGTGACGTTCATTACATTCACTTATCAATTAAAAAAAAAAGTAGCGTTACTCTTCGAAATACATTAGTATTTCGTTTATTCTTTTCTCTCGTCGATGAACAAAGGTGCTAGTAGGTATTATTTTATCGATATGGATCGTACTCACTAAGTAAGTGAATAAAAAGTGGCTTGAACCATAAATATTAGTATTTTGCGTTTGCTCAGAAAGTCTGAAATTGTTTATTCGTATAATGGTAAAACATTAAAGTTGTCATATCTACTTTTTCATAGACTTTTATCTATTACTGGAAAAGTTTAACTATTAGAGGTAAGAATATTCATTTGCTTGTACTTATTGAATATTCCGATTTATTGAACATTATGACATACAGACGTATGTCATCTAAATTTTTCATAGCAACTGTCATGATTTTTTCATACTGCGCACCTTTTTTTTCTTCTCTAGTATCGAAATTTACAGTGTTTTTAAGCGCTCTCATCAATTACGAAACGATTCTATTTATTGTCTGATGATTCAGTTGTAAAAATGATTATTATATGACAAATATTCTACTATAAGAACAAAAAAATGTATGACTAACCCAGTATTTAACTAATGTTAATAATCTAAATTGAGAAATACGACGAGGTCATCATACTAGTAAAGAATCTTTACCTGTGAAAGTTCTGAACTTCTTACGTTTGATCAAGAAGAGTTCTTTTGGCTTATGAAAAAGAGATACCGTTTTGTTTCCGGCAGAAATTCGTTTAAAAGCACTGTGTTTTTTTTCTAAACAAAAGCTCTTAGCTCTTCACTTTTTTAAATAAAATATGTAACACTGTTCACACGTTTGATGTTCTTACTATAATATCATTTATTTTAGAAATGTTATGTTATCTTTTCACTTTTAGATTTATGTTTTGAACAACATCATTTTATATTTTTTATGTTGAATCATCATTTTTTGTTAAATCGTAAAGACTAGAAACTTGAATGATGGCTTCAACGAAGCCGATTGTATGGGTGTGTTTGATTATTGTTGTGATATGTGAGAGAGTACAATCAAGAACGGTTAGTAACTGTTGTAGAATATAAAATTTATAATCGAGTTTAATAAATTTTCTTTTTAAAAATTTTAGGCTCAATCGAATGATAATACAATGGTCCGAGTAAAAAAACAGTATCAATACCCAAACTATCAACAGCAACCATATTATCAACCAGGTTATAGGCAGCCGCCACCACCACCATCCCCACCTCAGTCGAGTAGTGGTTATAATGATAGCGGCGTCGAATGTAAAGGATGTGGACCAAGACGAGATTGCGGATGTCCAGGAAAAGGTGGAATGGGCATTACTGGTAAGGCAGTAGAGAAACTAATAATATATATATATATACGAAAGAATTGCGCTGAAACTGTCTTCGATGGATTAAATCACTCGTCTGAGTGGGCAAAGTTCATTCTTGAGAGAATACGTTCAAATTTTCGATGTTGTATCGTGAGAAATTACGATAATTAGACACGTAGATTCTCACTAGATTAGATATGAACTAATTGATTTTTAAATATTTCGATATATTTTAAACTCTAATATTTATAGTTATTGTCCTAAAATACGTTATTAATTAAAGTTAAAGTTGACAAGGATGCGGAGAAGATAAAAGTTTAAAATGTTTTGCGGAGAATGTTTTGATGTTTCCTCACGAAACCTAAGTATTATTGTGTCTCATTCTTAAAGTGGCTTTGATAAAGAATAAAAAGAGCTCGAAATGTTATCTTATTATCTGTTTATATGTATATTAGAACTGAACTTTTGTCAATATGTTTAATGACGTAATCAGATGTTAACTGACTGTGATGGACTAAAGCTTTTAGTGATTAAATTTTTCATTTCTAGGTCCACAAGGATTTCCCGGCATTCCTGGCGTAAATATTTGAACAAGTTTCATATGACATGGAAATGAGTATAATAATGAGTTGAATTTAGGATCGTGGAAATAGAGGCACAGGAGGAGGAAGAGGTTTGACGGGCGTTCGTGGTGAAAAAGGCGATCGTGGTCAGTATGGAAGTAAAGGAGAACGTGTAAGTATGAAATAAAATCAACTTTTAATGTAAGTTATTTTAGACATATTTTATTTTAAATTGCTTAGGGTGACGATGGTCTTTTACCAGTTGATGGTCAGAATGGATTTCCAGTATGTAACCTTCAATTATTTTCTTATTCTAGAACTTATTGCACTTTTGCATGCGTTTAGTTATGCTCTCAAAGTACAGAAAAGTATAATGCGAATTTGACACTGAATTGACTTTTGAGCTGCAATAAGACAAAATGACTGGGGAGATATAAGAGAGATTGATGTTCAGCAACATTTCGTCGTGCTGCTTTTGTTCGTTTGAGATGAGGGCAAAACATATTTTGTTAGCGTATACTACGTCTAGATAGTGATCGATTCACCAAGCGCTAAAAATATGAGTGTCCAACGAGTCTAGTAGTGAAAAAGTTTAGTTAATGTTAATTCGTTCTAGCTAACTATTTCTCTTCTTTATAGGGAAAACCCGGTGCAATAGGCCCACGAGGTATTCCAGGTGTTCCCGGATGTAATGGTTCGAAGGTAAGCTTATTTACATTATTATAGATTTCAAAAAAATTTTTTGACGTGTGTAGGTATTTAGCGTCGCTCTGAGAAGAAAAGAGAATTTTTCAGAAAGAAAAGTACTATGTCCATGAATATGAGTAATCGTGAATATGATAAGATTATGTTATTTTCTGTCACAATATTTGTTTACAAAACTGTCCTTATATAAAAAAAAACATAAAAATTATCGATGATGAGATATATATGAAGGAAAAAAAGAATTTTCTTTGATTATTAATGATATAACTAACCGCAAAAGCGAAGGTCGCCACTAAAGAACAGTTGTTATATTCATAGTGTATATTTACATTCATAGTAGTTCCATGCGTTATACGATATTCTACCGTCTGCACTCAAAAAAAGAAAAATAGAGATGGTATAGTAGTTTCTAGTAATAAATAAAGAACAAAATCTGATCTTTAAATAGAGAGAGTAATAGATCTATGACCTTGTGGGTACTTAGAGTGCATATTCCAGATAGTAGTAAACTATACATAGTGGAAATACTAAAGTCAATTAACCAAGACTCATATCTCTTAATTTAAAAATAGAAACAAGAAGAATTTCATATAATAAACGATATGTAATATATCAATAAAGAGAAAGCAAACGTATTCTGAAGTTAAACGTCTTCCCAATGCAGAGATATAAACGTTTTATTTTCTTCAAATTATTCTCTTCGCTTTCTTGTTGTATGATACAATTCAGTCAAACCCTTTGATCCTAACATCCATTATCTGAGCTATTATTTTATTTTAATAGTGATGAAGTTAACGTAGACATAGTTTTTATTTTGTTGATCAGAAATAATATCCTTTGTAATAAGAGTTCATAAATTTAGAGAAAAGTTATTTTCTATAGAGTTCAAAGTTGAGTGGATAGCTTTGAAAAAAGTTCAGCCAAATCTTTTTATAAATGTGCTTGTTTCACTATACTAACACTATATTTCTCAGATAGCGCATTACAGCTATATAAATTCATCTAATTTCGAGAATATTATCACATTGTGCAGAAACATTTGTACGGTCTTGTTTCTTACTCTAACAGTGGATAAAATGCCTATCAGCTACGCAAAAGAGTAACAAGAGCAAAAATAACTTTTAACTGTGTCGATTTATTGATCTCCTGTGGATTGTGGATTAAGAACCAAGCCATAACTGACATTCTTTCTCTGAAAGGATCTATGCATGAGATGATCAAAAACTGTTGAAATTGAATATAAGTGGAAGAAAACTGATAGTTAGGACAATAAACGTAATTTGCTATATACAAATGAACTAAATGGGTTGACATTGTCGAATTATTGAGTGAAATTAAGAAAATTCTTGAATTCGTGTAATCGTTCTGCTTTATCAGCCAATTAGAACCAGTTACTTGCTTAAATTATAGCTTCTTGTTAATAAGCTCAACTAATCACGCTAACAATGACAACCGTTTGAGTGAAAAACAATATCCTTGGTATTATGTAAACAAATGTTTTGTGTCATTAGAATGAATCTGTTTATTATGTTTTACTATTGCTTCTAGCAAGGATTTAGTTGCAGTAAATGAAACATTTTTTCGTGACAAAAAAGAAATCGGAACCTTGTAGTAATTTATTTCAACCTTCTCTATTTGCTCACATTTAAATTAGCAGAAGAGAGCACATTTAGATGATATCTCCTGTTTTCTTTGTATATTTGTCCAGAAATGACGTAAAGCTATTTCCAAACATTTATAGAGGGTATAAACATAAGATATTAGTAAAAATTAATACAGAAAAAGAAACAAGATTTTCTGTCTTGCATATATAGAATAGTTGTATCATATTTATATTTCAGATCGTTTATGCCCACATACATACTATATTGTATAGTTAGCAAATAACTAGATGTTATATACACGAAAGAATATTCTATTAAAAATATCTATCAGGAATACGTACGTGATGCAATTGCATTAGTCTATTGGAATACAAAGAAGTCAAGGTCTCTATATATCTATATATGAATATCCAAAAAGGCATTTATAGTAACGATGATTAGTCATCATTTATTCTAGAACAAAAAAAAATGGAGAGAAGCAAACGCATTCAAAAGCAACATCACGGGCTCAAGAAATGAACATGAAATTTTTTTCAGTTAGGAAAACTTGAATAAAAAACTTAAATTTAAAATTTGTGGTAAAAACACATAAATATTTCTTCTATAATATACACTTGACTAAAGATAATTTTGTCATTTTGCTTTATCCTACAAATTAAGAAAATTGTTGATTATCGACTTTTGCATGTATAATACTGTATTATCACCGATTTTTTATTGTTAATCATAAAGATAAATTAGTACATTCTTGTTCTTTTTCTTTCTATATAATCATATTTTGTAATAAACAATGATGGACTTGAATATATCAATGTCAGCTTTCTTCAAGACTTACTGACATCTGTCAACATTGTTAACTGATGAAATCAGTTACGCTTTCATATTAGACTCATGTAGTGAAACGTTGTGATCTCACGTGTCTGAAAATCATAGCTAAAATATGTTTCAGACATTTTAGAGAGAAAAGTAGAGTTCCAACTACTACTTTGAGAAGATATATACTAACGGGAAAAGCTGACATAGAATAGTCAAAATAGATTCTCGAGCGGTGATTGTTAGACAATTCGGTTTTTCTGTACGAATCGCGTATGTGTGCGCCTGAACGTGGTGTTAGATCCACCACACGATTGCTCTCATCAAGATCTATCGAATGGAATATGATACATAGGGGTTCCAGTGTGTTTTCACTGACTTTTTTCTTAAATAACCTTCCGAAGGCTACACTTCAGCGCCCTGTATCTCGACTGTTATGCAATCAAATGTTGGGAAACTTTTGTCTTATAAACTAGGATGGAAGTGCAACAAAACGTTCGACTTAGATCTGTTTTATTCTTACTATAAAGTTTTTTGGCCAATTATACATAGAAGATACGATTCACTCATATACACGATAATCCGTTAGAAAATCTAGAAGAAGACTGAATTTTGGAACTCGCGTAATCTGCTTGTGAACTAACAGAATCAAGTGTCAACATCGATCTGATGCCTTTATTTCCTCTATTGTTGGCTGAAAATGCCCTCAAACTGAATATAAGTAAATTTCAGCGGTGCTCGAGACCATGTGGACATATGTGAGACAATCCTTACTCCAAATTTTAATAACAGATGCCTCGTTTCAAGTAGTTAACTAGAAGTAAAATAATGTTTTGATCTTATAAAAAATGAATTTTATTAATTGACATATCCAAAATGGATTCGCTACTAGTAACAACAGACTGTTAAAATATCTGTTTTGGGAAAAAGTATTCGGCTACGAATGACAAGTAAAACAAAGAGTACTACACTCTAAAAAATAGTCGTAGATTAATAAACTATCAAAAAGGGTTTATTAATCTACGACTATTTTTTAGAGTATAGATGATTTGATGATTATTGCTTTCTTGATCTGTTTGTTTAGGCAGTGAATACGAGTTTAAAGAGCGAATAGTCGATTTTATGTTATTTTAACATGTAGTTGTCTCTTTAGGGCGATGCGGGACCAAACGGATTTGATGGAACTAACGGTTTGCCGGGAAACCGAGGAAATCCTGGAAGACCGGGAGAAGTGGTAAGGACATTTCCGGCACGTTCACATAAAATTCATTTCAAATTATTATATTTGTTTTAGGGCGAACATGGTGAAGCCGCTTATGGTCCAGGAGGAGTTGCTCAAGGGCCAAGAGGAGACAGAGGCACACCGGGAAAACAAGGAATACCAGTACGTGTATAAGTGCAAAATTCCACTGATATTTTTCTATCAAAAATGGAAGAATAAAATTTTGTTATTCGTCTTGAATAAAATGCTTTTGAAAAAGTTGATATTTTTCTCTTTATTCTAGGGTTGGCCGGGTACAAGCGGATTGCCTGGCGCTCCAGGACCTGCAGGACCAGCTGGCACACCAGTATGTTTTTAAAACTCGATTCAGTCATTTTGAAACTCTTTCTGCATGTCAGTGTCACACTCAGGAAGACAACACAAACGTAAATTTTTTGAAAACATTATAAAATTCCAAGACCACGTGATGAATTTTCTTGTGTCTCAAACTTAAATACTTTTATTTAAGTGTATAGAATTAACACAAAAAACACTTGTTTTAATGACAATCTTGATGTTTTTAGGGAAGACCAGGTCCACTAGGAGATGCTGGAGAAAAAGGACGTCCAGGACAAGATAACTATGGAGTGAAAGGTGTGTAGTATGACAAGTGTCATCATTGTCGTCTAAAAATTTATTTTTATTTGTCTAGGCATACGGGGTGAACCAGGTATTCCAGGTATGTTCAACAAAGAAGCATCCGAGAAGGGATATTGTTTAATGTAAATTTAAATGAATTTCAGGACCAAGAGGACCGGAGCACATTGAATCTCGTGGTGAGTGATGTTTTGACACTCTATTATATTATCGTACATGAAAACTGATAGTTAATTTGCAAACGTGTCATATTGAGCTGTAAGAGTTAACACATAAAAAGACTCTCTGAATTCTGTATCTATGTCCTTTTACAGAATGTCCGAATGGAAAATGTAAGTAGTCAATCACTTATCTAAACTATACTTCCACCATTTTTTTTCATAATTCCATCATGTAACATGCTTTACCTCATATTAATAAGAAATTTGAAACTACATCACAGCTTTAGATATTATTTTTATCTGGAATATACATTCACATTATCAGGAGCTTTTTTTCCATATAGATATGGATTACCATATTTAATGTTTTTATTTATTGAACTATAACTATTGATGAGATACACATACATACACCATCTATCACACATATCCATATTTGCTTCAATGGCTGAATATGCTTCATCGTTCTTTATTGAAAAGGTTAAAACTCGTTTTTGAAAATGAACAGTCCCTTAGACGTACCCAGAGTAGACATAGTACACATATATGAATCATTGCATGATTTATTATACTATGCTTATAGCTTCCTAAGCTTCTAAATTTGAATATAACTAGATTTTTTTCGGACAAAACTCTCGGATCAGAATCATTGACTTTTTCACGTGTAAGTTTCAACCTATAATTTATCATACTGCTTTAATTCTATGTTTTAATGCAGATTTGTCGATAATTAATAAAATTTCATAATTTTTGCTTCATGCTTTTCTACATAAGAAACATAAATATGCCATTTGTCCTTCTAATACAGTTTTGTATACATATGTACATACATTTTAGGTATAATACATATACAAAGTACACCTGGAGTGAAAGGTGCTCAAGGTGACAGAGGTTTTAAAGGAAATTTGGGTGCACCTGGTTATGTTGTACGTAGACTCGAAGTTGATCGTTTACTTAACATGAATTAACTCTCGTTTAGGGTATCGATGGACTACAAGGTCCCAAAGGAGAAAAAGGCGATTCTGGTGGAGCTGGACCGCAGGTAAGACGTACTTTCAAAACCTCGATCTAAAAATCCATAAGAGTTTTATCTTAAAGGATTATTAAAGTATAAAAAAACATTCTCTCCTATTGTTTGTTATCTATTTACTATAACAAAAATTGTACCAAAAATTAGTTTCTTTCTGTCATGTTGACTACGCGCAGAAGTTGAGTGTCAATTTGTTACATTTCTAAAAATACCATAGTTCGACAAGATATCAATATAAAGATTTTATTTAACCATCTATACCTTGTTTTCTAGGGAAAAATTGGTAAACCTGGTCCAGCTGGTTCATACGGAGTGAAAGGAAGTACTGGTGCGTAATAGAAGTAGTTAATATAGAGTTATTGCGAAGTGCTTATGTGTGAATATTACTTTATTCCAATCTTCGTTTTTAGGCGCAACGGGTCCACCTGGTCCGGATGGAATACCCGGAGGTAAGTTTAATGAAGTATTTTGTATGTAAATAGCATTTAGCAAAATAATATCAAGACAAACTCGCTGTTTATATCAGACGATAGAAAATCAATTATTTTTCAATTTTCAGAACAGGGAAGAAATGGATATCTGGGAACAAAAGGTGTACGGGGAGATATTGGTGAACCAGGACCAAACGTAAGTTTTATTTTCACTATTTGTACATTATGTTTGCTATATCTTTTTATAATGTATCGTTGGTCACTATTTCCATTTTATTCTTATCCTTATACTAATGAAAAAACGATGAGCATCAGCTACCAAAAACACCAACTTAGCATACAGCTTGATGTGAAATGAACACAGTCGTATCATCATAATCACAGATGCACCATGAACAGCCAATAGTATTCTTTTACTCCCTTCTTAGATGTTCGCGAAGTACTAGCATCACTCAGCTCTATTAAGCATGTAAAAAACTTTTTACGTCTTTTGAGCTTCCATCCGTTCTTATTTGAATTCCATTTCACTTCTTTACTGTGATTTTATAATTTTTTAACATTTTAGACGATTGGTAGAAAAGGCGTTCGATCCTATCCGGGAAGACCTGGCTATCCGGTATTATAAAGAATAAAATTAAAAAACAGTTTTCAAATCATCATAATGTATTTTAGGGAATACCAGGGGATGCTGGACCATCGGGTTTGCCTGGAGCCCCGGGATTTCCAGGTAACGAGTTTTTTTATTCAGTTAAGCTTATCTCATGAAATAGTCTTTCGTGATTCACAAAGTTTTTCTAAAGAAGAACAAAAAGAACAGTTTGTTTCCACATGGTTAATCAAAATTATATTTTTTATATATAAAAATCATATAAGATCGAGAGTTCGGGTTTGTTAGACGAATAGCTTTTCAAAGATAGAAAAATATCAAAAACGTTTTCCATAAACATCAGTTTTATCAACATGTCTCACTTTTTGGTGGTGTCGGCTTTGTTATCAAAAAATAATTTACCACCGTATTTTCGTTCATCCGTAGGTCGAGAAGGCATGAAAGGAGAGAAAGGAGATTATGGAATGCCTGGAAGACCTGGACCAATGGTAAGTAACTGTGTTATGAATACATTGAATGAAACCGGTGATATCGAATGAAATTTTTGGAAAAATATGTTTCTGTTTATTTGAAAGGGTGAACCGGGTTTCGGTGGAGAACAAGAAAAGGGAGATCGAGGAGAAGATGGTATGTTTTGATGGAATATTTCTTATGTTTTATCGAAAACCAGTGATCTTTAACAATTTTAGGATTACCGGGCCCACAAGGACAAGCAGGAGCTGCTGGTAAATTTCTGATTGACCGTGTAATGCATTTATGTCACTGGATTTTTCAATTATGTTTATAGGTTATCCTGGAGAAAAAGGAAATATGGGAGACAAAGGAATGGCTGGAGATGATGGATATGGTGAGTTATTTATTATTTTCTAACATTTACTGACGAACAGAGCTATGCAACACAAGACTGTACTTTACTAGCGCTGTTTGCATAGAGAAATAAGAGTGTTATGATCTAGTTGAATACTTCCAAACTAAATAAAATGCATTTATAAAGATTAAATTAATAATTTAATGAATATTGTTTCTAGGACAGCGTGGATTACCTGGACTTGCTGGACGTCCTGGGTGTAAGTATCATTGAAACTACAAATACTTATCTATAGATGTTATATTAAACATGATCAATTTTTTTCAAAGATCCGGGCTTACCTGGTCCAATAGGAGATCAAGGAGAAATGGGTCCACCAGGTGAGTTAATAGCTTTCTTTGGAGGTTATCAGCCGATTTTTATAATTTATAATTGCAATAAACTTTTGTGTTTCTTTTCTTGTGATATGTTCATAATAAAATGAGTGTTGATATACAACAGAGATTTTTGTACTTTAACTATTGACTCATGACTTTATTTTTTGTCCATTCCTTTTAGGTTACCCCGCAGAAGGAACCTTTCAAGGATATCAAGGTAGACTAACTTTAAACGGGAAAATAAAATCATCTGTTCTAACGAAAATTATATCTTTTTAGGTTACGGTCCTCCTGGCCCACCGGGGTAAGTCTTCTACAGATAGTGATTCAGTTCAATATCCTTTTGTACGTGAACTCCTGCTAAAAATAATAGACTTCGTGTTCTACAGAAAACAACCAGATTAAACACTTTTCAGTATAGGTGAATCCATGATACCTCGCATCATGAACTTAATAAGAGACTTATATTTAACTTTCACTGCTGTTAAGTAGGATGATGAGTTGTAGAACGTATATAGCAACTCAAAAGGAATAATAGCGTGTGTAGAGTCGATTACAATAGCAACTAATTTTACCTATAATGCAGAGTTATCTAGAACGTACGTTTCGGTTACAAAATGCTCAGTACTAATATTTAAATTAGTAGTACTTTATATCCTGTTGAAAAATACAGCTACTTTTTAGTTATGTGGGACCAGCCGGACCGCCTGGGCTACCCGGTACCCCTGGTAAGTTAAAATAACGCATGATAAATCTGATAGAACATACGATCAACGCTTCTTCTATATCAAGGGATACCTGGACCCAAAGGAGACTATGGTGACGCTGGTGGTTGTGGTTTTTGTCCTCCTGCTACTCCTGGACTACAAGGCGATAGAGGCTCGCCTGGCTATCGTGGCAGACCTGGAGTACGTATTGCATCTGCCACATAAATTTTCATATTGTAAACTTCTATTTTTTTTTACCAGATTAATGGAGCGCCTGGATATCGCGGTAAATAAATCAAATCATCGTTTATTTCTTATAATTGAATTTTATTTACATTATATTTTATTTTCTAGGTGAAAAAGGTGATGCTGGACCACAGGTAACTACACATTCTTTATTCGTTCATATTGTCACATTATATAACATCTGTTTCATTTAGGGAGCATCCGGTCCCGTCGGAATACCAGGACCATCGGTAGGATATTGTTTCGAAATTTTGAATGATTCCATATTTATCAATCAGTTAACCGTATAAAGTATAAGCGAGATAAGGCCGTTCATGTCACTTAATTATTATTTTTTTAAATACTTGCTACACATGTCTAACTTTTAGAGCTAACAGAGCTTAAATTCTGATACAAAATAGTGCATATGACATTGAATTGTATTTACTATAGGGCATAGATGGAAGAAATGGTTACAATGGAGCTCACGGTCGGAAAGGTATTTTATTGAACGTAGATTAATGATATTAATTTGATTATCGTTCTATACATTATTAAGGTGAACCGGGTGAGATGATTGGTGCTGATGGCATAAAAGGTAAAAAGAGATCAAATACGCTATCAATCACTTGTAAAGTGAAATAATAAAAGCCAATTAGTACTACTCAATTTTTTTGTGCATATTTTCTCCAGTTTAATTTTGTTTCTTAAACAAAAGCCTAGAATAAATCGAATTTGTCTTCCATTAGATATTTCTCTATAGTTTTGATTATAGTCAACCAGCCTGAATTAGTTTTATAGTTTTTAATCACAATTTGTCATTGTATACAACAGAGCCTTTAGTAGAACCTTTTTTTTCATTTTAAAAGGCCGACGTGGATCAAGCGGGGAACCGGGAGTCAAAGGTTATCGTGGTGATATGGGAGATGTTGGTATTAATGGCAGAGACGGGTATTTAGATTAAATGTGATATATGCACACAGGCAATAATCTTGTCAATCATTCATTTTCTAATTATTAGATATGATGGTGCTCCAGGAGCAACTGGTCCACGGGTAAATTATGCTTTTTTGTTTTCACAGTTTGCTGTTTTATTAATATTCAATGATTATTTTCTCAGAAAGGTTGTCTTAAAATAATCTATTGATAATTGCAATAGGTCACTGGATCATTCGTACGATCGAATAATTCTATCTCTCATGAAAAAATTGTACTTGATAGTCATTCAAACTTAATTACTCCAATAGAAGTTTTCAAATATTTAATATTGATGACTTTAATTTGTCTGTTTTATTTTCAAGGGTCCTACCGGTGATAGTGGTCGTACAGGTGGTCCAGGTGTTCCAGGAGCAAAAGGTAAAAAGATATTTTTATTATATTTTGTTTCATTTAATGTTTTCACCTCATTACTTATTTAAAAATGTATAGAGTGTTATTAATGCTGATTAAAATAGAGCAAAATAAAATTACAGT